GCTTCCTCCGGCGTAACGCTACTTCCCTTTCTCTCTTATTTCAGTCAACAATTATGCATAGATTTGCTGGTTTTATGTTGTTAGGATCCCAAATGTTTCTAGGTTTATACGATCTAGATCTGGATTTCCTTTTTTGTTTCTCCCTTCCCTCGATCATCGGAGCTCTCCAAAATTTATGACTTTTGCTCGAAATTTCCCTCCTTTCCTTTATTCGCTTCTGAATCACACAAGCTTGCCTTGGGTTTTTGCTAAGTTTATGTTTATTATAATTCATCACACCCTTTAATCGAGGAACGGTTTTCCGTATATGTGTATCCTGAGTTTTCTTCTGTTACACGCAGAGCTGAGAACCATACCTTGATGAATTCGCGCGCTTCTGGATATTTCGTTGTTTCCTGCAAATCGGGAAACAAGAACTGCTTCTTCTTCTTCTGGATTTTGGTTTGCCTTCTCCCTAAGTTCTTTGGAGCCCCACTCCTCCTACTTGTCGACTTCCTCCTCATTGACGCCGTCGATAGGATCCCCTCTCATTCTCCTTGATTCATTGTTTCTCTTGGCCCATCTGCTTTTCCAACTCTCTCACTCACTTCTCGCGGTCTAACCAATATGGTCTCCTCCAAAAACCAAACCATCAAGCCTCTCCGGAAAGTACAGCACTTTCTCTCGACCACCCCGCCTGATGTTGTCTTGAACGACAATGTTGAGCTTGATTTCTCTGATGTGTTTGGTCCTCTTCCTGAAGTCAGCTCTGTAGTAGACTCAGAGATTGCTGACTCCAGTGACATTGTTTACGATGAGCCTGCTGTTGTCTACAGCCGATCCCACTCGCTCGTCGGCCCATCTTCCTTCGGTAGTCATTCTTTTAAGCTTAGCAAGCTCACTTTAAGGGAGACAGGGGTTCCAATAGACTTGCTGGAGTGTCTTGAAGATGAAACTGAGAAAGCTCTAGAGGAGGGTGAAGCCGCATCAGGTGTAGGCATCAAGGACTTTGAGGTTATGAAGGTTGTTGGGCAAGGTGCATTTGGGAAAGTGTTCCAGGTGAGGAAAAAGGGCACCTCTGAGATATTTGCCATGAAGGTCATGAGGAAGGATAAAATCATGGAGAAAAACCACGGCGAATACATGAAAGCCGAGCGTGATATTCTCACCAAAATTGATCATCCCTTCATCGTTCAGCTTAAATACTCTTTCCAGACTAAGTATAGGCTGTATCTCGTGCTCGACTTTATAAACGGAGGGCATCTTTTCTTCCAGCTCTATCACCAAGGGCTTTTCAGGTATCTGCAACTCCTTCCAAGCTTTTATTTTTTTTCCTTTTAGAGTTAACAAGAGAGGCTGACTCTTAGCTGTTTTGTTTTGTTTATTTTTGGCAGAGAGGAATTGGCTCGTGTGTACACTGCAGAAATTGTGTCTGCGGTATCTCATCTTCACGAGAAAGGCATAATGCATAGAGATCTGAAACCGGAAAACATACTATTGGACGCAGATGGCCACGTTATGTTAACAGACTTTGGCTTAGCGAAAGAATTTGAGGAAAACACAAGGTCAAACTCCATGTGTGGGACTACGGAGTATATGGCACCTGAAATCATTCGTGGCAAGGGCCATGACAAGGCAGCTGATTGGTGGAGCGTGGGGATTCTGCTCTATGAGATGCTCACGGGAAAGGTAAACAAATATGCCTTCTTCTTGTTAATTGACTGTATTTTGCTGACTTATGCTAAGCGGTATGTGTGATGCTGTCTCTCCACAGCCACCGTTTTTGGGAAGCAGAGATAAGATACAGCAGAAAATTGTGAAGGACAAGATCAAGCTCCCGCAATTTCTGTCAACTGAATGTCATGCGTTACTGAAAGCGGTGAGTATGGAACTCTTAAAACAAGGAATCTCTTACTTTGAGTCCACTGGACCAACCATTAACTATGATGTATCTGTCTGAATACAGCTGCTGCAAAAAGAGCCAGAGAGGCGACTGGGAAGCGGACCAAAGGGGGCAGATGAGATAAAAGGGCACAAGTGGTTCAAGGTTGTAAACTGGAGGAAGCTGGAGGCGAGAGAGGTGCAGCCAAGTTTCAGGCCAGAGGTGTCGGGAAGGCTATGCATAGCCAACTTTGATAAGTGTTGGACGGATATGTCAGTGTTGGATTCTCCAGCCGCCAGCCCCACTGCGGATGCAAGGGCCAACCCCTTTATCAACTTCACATACGTGAGGCCGCCCACGTCTTTCCTTCACCAGACCAGCTCCTTTGATTAGACTGCAACAAGCAGTTGTGTTGTTTGTTCATTTAAACTTGAGCTTTGTGTTGTCTTTATACCATTTTCATTGTTACAGTATTACACGGTTTGATGGATAATTGATGGGCTATGTTGGGCCACTTTGAGTCTTTTGAAATTGAAACTGAGAAAACAAAGAAAGATGAATGGAGAATGACGTTTGTACGTTCACCCACAGACATAAAAATGAATGGAGAATTTGGAACCAACCAAAAGATAATCATCCAAACATCATCCCTTCCCTTTAGATGGCTTCTCTTCTCTCTCCCGCCACCGCCGGTGCATTTCATTCGACTCGCAAATGCTTCACCGCCGGTTTCTCATCCCAAAGCAAGAGCCTTTTGCTCCTCAGCCGCCGGAGATGCCGTTTTTCTCCGGAGGACATTCCTGTGGAGTTTGTGGGGCAATCTCTCTCTCATCTCCCTGCTCTCGACGAATTCCAGAAATCCGTTGGGAGATTCTCGGATACTCAAAAATGGGAATTCTTTGTGTCCGCCGGACTTGTCTGGTTCTACCTGACGGCGAGGCCTGGTGTTCTCATCGGCGCCATTGACGCCTACCTTCTCGCTCCTCTCCAGCTTGGCCTCGACACTCTGATTGGGACAAGGAGGTTGAAGACATCCGATTTCTTGGTCACTGAGAAACTCGGCGAAGGCTCTTTCGGTGTGGTCTACTCCGGCGTCCTTCTTCCCAAGAATTCTAGTATTGATGAGCCTCCTCGGCTTAGCAAAGCCAGAGCTAAAGCTTTAGACTTTACCGGCGACTTCAAGCAGAGAGTCATTCTCAAGAAGGTAATTCATTGCTAAACCTATAGATATACGCAAATTTTAGATTTTTTCTTCTAATTCTTGGTCAATGCAGGTGAAGGTGGAAGTACGAGGGGCGGAGGAATTCGGCGAGTACGAAGAGTGGTTCAACTACAGGCTCTCAAGGGCGGCTCCTGAGACCTGCGCTGAGTTTCTCGGTAGCTTTGTCGCCGACAAGACCAATACTATGTTTAATAAAGGCGGAAAATGGCTTGTCTGGAGGTTCGAGGTGCTCTTCTTACCTTCAACGTACATTTGATATTCCACTCTTTGTATTGCGGTGATGAATGTGTGTTTTCACTACAGGGAGACCGTGATCTCGCTGATTACATGAAAGATCGGAGCTTTCCTTCCAATCTGGAGTCCATCATGTTTGGGCGTGTTCTTCAAGGAGTTGAATCTGTGAAACGCCGTGCATTGATCATTAAGCAGATCATGCGCCAGATCATTACATCTCTCAGGAAAATCCATGATACTGGCATTGTTCACAGGGACGTCAAGCCTGCCAACTTGGTGGTTACAAAGAAGGGTCAGATTAAGCTCATAGACTTTGGTGCAGCTGCTGATCTCCGCATCGGCAAGAATTACATTCCGGACCGCACATTGCTAGATCCTGACTACTGTCCTCCCGAGCTCTATGTCCTCCCCGAGGAAACGCCTAGCCCTCCTCCCGAGCCAATAGCCGCTCTGCTTTCCCCGATTCTGTGGCAGGTGCTTTTTAGATTCTTGTATGTCAATGTTTGCGTTCTTGACTTGAGTGTCTGCCTGATTTGGAGTGCTGATTCTTACAGTTGAACAGTCCGGATCTTTTTGATATGTATTCTGCTGGGATAGTGCTTCTCCAAATGGCGGTTCCGACCTTAAGATCTAGTGCGAGTTTGAAGAATTTTAATTTGGAGATCAAGTCAGTTGAATATGACCTCAAAAGATGGCGGGACAGGACTCGAACAAGGCCAGACTTGAGCATACTAGATCTGGACTCGGGTAGAGGGTGGGACCTTGTCACAAAACTCATATCTGAGAGAGGTTCTCTGAGACGCGGACGCCTTTCAGCCGCTGCTGCTCTCAGACACCCTTATTTTTTGTTGGGTGGTGATCAAGCGGCCGCTGTTCTTTCAAAGCTCAGTTTCAGCAAGTAACTCTGATTTATTCTTATGATGTAAATGTACACAACAACTCAACTCCGTTCCTTGAATAAATTTATGGTATATGCTTTGCTTCTTGATCGCAAGCAAACGAATTTTGTATTGGCCTTTGCGGTTTTGTATATCAAAGCAGCCGCCATCAGGTCTTATTCAGAGACTGCAGAGGTATGTTTGTATTGATATTGGTCTGGTGTCTCTCTCCAGGTATGTTCGCTCATCTCGATTAAC